CAGCAGGATAATGATAATGCTAATAATAATAATAATAATAATAATAATAATAATAATAATAATAATAATTTCCTTTTAAAAGAAGGAGATAAAGAAAATGGATTGGTAGAAATGGACAATTTGGGAGGAGGGGGAAGATTTACCCACTAGAACCTGCCTGATACATTTTAAAGAACTACGTTTGATGAAAATACTAGGGGATGAGTTCTTTATGCGATGAGCTTTCTGATTTTGACCTACAAGGGTTTTACACCAGGGCCAACTTCACACAACACGCTATGCCCGAATGTGTTTCAGTTTGGGTTCAGTGTGTTGTGTGAATCCGTTCACTATAGTTTCTAAAGCCAGCTTTGTAACTTAGCGTGAAGTGGAAACCTAGCCAGTGGTGGTTTGACTAAACCACAGTTACAAGGAGAACACAGGATGGTGGGTGAACTGGGTGTCAGTTAAACATTTTGCTCCACTTTTATATTTTTTCAAATCCCTGGATTGTCTTGTCTCCTTTCTCTCTCCATTATTCCCTCATTAAACTAAACTCTCGGAGGCTGCACACAGCTGTTGGGTTCACACGTTCAACTCTACACCCAGGTTAACAAAGCACAGGGGCGGTGTTCACAGAACACGCACCACCCAGCCCAAAAGACCACATTCATGGCTTAACGGGATGGCCTTGTTGACAGAGTTTCCCCCAAAACTCTGAACCTCGAATGATCCAACACCTTTTTCCCCCTACTCGAGAGTGGTGGGTGAACCCGGGTCTGGCTCCCTTCACCTGAAGTTTACTCACCCCAGTTTCCAGGATCTGCACAGTGCACTTGAACTGGGGCTACATTGCCCTAGGGCGAGGTGGGCTGGTGTGTCATGCGAATGCATCCAGGTGTTGCCTCTCTGCTCAGGCTCCCCGCACACATCCAGAACCGGCCTCTGAACTCTGGAGATTAAGTTACCTGGTAGAGGATGGAGCTGAGACACAATGGAAAAGAAAATAAGGGTGGGGCGGGGGAGAGAAACATCAAAGCAGAAAAACCGTGGGTCCAATTCACCCGCGTTTATTTCAAAACAGAGGCCGGATGAGAGAGGCAACCGGATTCTACTCTGGTTGGAAATGTCCAACACCAACATTGGTTCTGCACCTAGCAGGTTAACAAGCTGAGGTCCTAGTTGGGATTTTCTTCCTGAATGAACATAAGGCGGTTCCCCTTTCTCTTCTTGTTGTTATGGCAACCCTGTGAGGTAGGCCAGTCACACCAAGGAGGAGCGACCTATGGCCGAACCTATGACCCCCAGCCTTCTCCCAGCTGCATCTGGACAATCTCCAACTGCGTTGAATAATCCCCCCATATCCCACGCTGCCAGTGAGGGACCCCTTGGGGAAAGGCTGCTTTAGGGGGAACCTGCAACTCCTCCAGACAACTCCTACCCTCCTAAGGCTGGCTAGAAATCACACTTGTGTCTTAGGGCTGTGTTCCCACAACCAGTTAAACCCAGAGGCTTGCCTGTGGCTTAACCGCCGTGCTTCATCCCATGTGGCAGAGCGTGGGGTGGGAATTGCGGTGCAGTGGGGACAGGAAGGCATGGTGAACTCAGGCTGGCTTAGCTTGTTGTGAGAACGCAGCTCTTGCCCTGCGGGGAAAGGGGGGGGGGAGGAGGAGGAGGCAGCCCCCGTGGAACAAGCAAAAAGTTTGCCTCCTATGCATGAATAATCCTGAGCTCTTATTGATAGCAATGCTATTACTATTAGCAGTAAAGGCTCCCAATCAATAAATAATATGAATATTCATGGTAATCCTATGTGCTGCTTTGGAAGGGGCAGGAGAGAGGATGCTGGATTCGGGCACTCCCATTTCTCCCCCTCTCCCCTTTCAAACAGGCCACCCTACCTTACAGAGCCGCTTCGAGTTTGCATTCCCACGGCACTCTGAGCCCCAAGCGAGCCAATCCCATTTTAGCCTTGCTGGACAGGGGGGATGATCAGTTTAGGGCTCCCTGGCTTGGTGGAGTCCAGAAAATGGGAAGAAAAGCAGAGAGGAAACCCTGAGGGTGCCAACGGTTGGTCATTTTAGCTTTGCAAAACCGCCTTTCCTCTCTCGATTCAACAGCCGTGCTCGGGTGTACCTGGAGGTTAATTAATTAATTCTGTGTGGCTAGATTTATATCCCGCCTTTGATTTAGGCGTTTAAAGCGGTTTATGCAGCGCTCCCTTCCCCTAATCCAACACCCAAGTGGCTCTCGTGGACCTTCAGAAGCCGGTGTGTGTCTCAAACCCGCAACCCAGAGATTCCTTTCCCCCCAAACAACCCGCAGGGAGTCCCGCGGATCTCCTCCAACAGTTAATGCCTTTCCCATTCTCAGCCTTCGTTTCTATCTTTTTCAATCGCGAACGTGGGACATCAGGCCAGCCGGCGCCCAAGTGTGCAAGGATTATTGTTTGGGGAATGGCCGTTCTCTCGGTTGGTGAATTTGATGTACACCCCGCCGTAAAATACACAGCGGTTCGCTTCACGCGAAGATGGTTTCCCACCAGGCCTGTGATGCCCGAAGAAAGCGACCATCTCCCGGCTTCACGCGATCGCCTGGTTCACAAGAGGTGCTGGAATAAGGGCTGGGGTTCCCCCACCGCCTGAGTCGCGAACGACCCAACCTCACTTTAGCCTGAAGTAACATGTCGTGAGAACCCAACCGTGATGCAGTGGTGAGCAGAAAGCAAACGTTGCTTTGCCCAGCTCCCAAGTTCTTACAGGAGTGAAGATCCTAACTACTCTTCCTCGCAAGCAAATCACGTTCGCCTCGGACAGGCCGTTTATTCCCCAGGTTTACTCAGAAGGAAATGCCCGCAACGAACAGAGGGATCGGGGCTTGGGCTAAAACAAGCGATTCGCCTTCACGGGATTTTGTTCCTAGCAAATGGAATGGAGGGGAAGGAAAGATACATTAAATAGCCGCGTTCACACGACTTTAATCTGGTCCCCGCATTAACCCATTTTTTAGGCTTCTTTGAAGCGTAGATTAACCAGACGAGTGGGCTTTCCACTGCGCGCTAAGCTGCCCAACCGCTCTCCTTGTCTAACTGAAATTACACCCCATCAGATTTAGCAAGTCGTGTGAATGCATCTTCTAAGATTGTCATTGACCGGTTAAATGCGTCCTCGGAACCCAGGCACAGCAGAGAAATCAGGAGGAGTCCTCGTCTGCCCTTGCCGAGATATTTTCGTTTGAAGAAAATGAGCTTTCTTTCTAATCGTTGGCTTCCTTCACTCTCCCCGGATCGAAAAATTGCCTTCCATGTCCAAGGCGTTTTGTTTCTAATCCTTTCTCTACTTGAAAAAAATAAATAAAATTAGGGTTGAAATCCAAATTAACACCTTCTAGAGGAAATAGTCAGGATGGGCCTTTTTCCTGCTCCTTCTCGGTTTTTATTTCAAAAGCGAAAGTCCCTTTATGAACGGCAGGTTAGAAGCCCAGTTTGGTGTCTAGCTGGTTTTCCTTTACAGTCTCCTTCTTTTAAAGCCATTCTGCATTCCCAATTTTGTGGAAAATGTGTGAAAATGGACTTGCGTGTGCAGAAAGAGAAATCTTGAATGATTTTAAAAAGAAAGGCTTGCGGTCGCAATCCGGGCGAGGCAGGGTTGGAAATTAAAGCGTGCGACACCTCCCCCCCCCCCCCCCCCC